GGTGCTTCTACTAAATACTGAGCAAAGGGTCTGAATACTTATGACCATGTGATATTCAGTTTTTCTTTTTTAATAAATCTGCAAAAATGTCAAAAATTCTGTGTTTTTCTGTCAATATGGGGTGCTGTGTGTACATTAATGAGGAAAAAATGAACTTAAATGATTTTAGCATATGGCTGCAATATAACAAAGAGTTAAAAATTTAAGGGGGTCTGAATACTTTCCGTACCCACTGTATATGGTAAATGGTCTTATACTTGTATAGCCCTTTTCTATGCATTCTGTGTATGTTCAAAGCACTTTCACACTATTTGGCCATTCGCCCATTTGGACTCCCAAGTTCACGGACTGGTGACATCACTGGGAGGAACTGGGGATTCAGCGTCTTGCTCAAGAACAGTTTGACATGTGGACTGGACATTTAAATGGGACTTTAATATCCCACATTTCTCGGTCAAATTGTCACTTTTTCAGCAGCAGGTCTTATTATATTGGGAACTTCTATAAAATCATAACTTCACACCACACAATACCCCAATCTGGAATAATAGACATATTAAGATCAAGAACAGATGTTGTTCAATAGAGACTGGATGGAGAAAGGTATCTGGTCAGTATCTCATCTTATTGACACAAATGGTTCCTTCTTATCAAATGAAAGTTTTATATGTCAAATATGGGAGAATTGATGATTGTAACACATTCAGTGCTATAATCAAAGCAGTTCCTACCTCCATCATGTGTTTGATTAAAGGGTATTTAAGTAACCCTACTCCAGTCACCCCATCTCTTCCACGGCTTTTAATTAAAGGCTGTGTTTTCAACCAACTCATATACCCAAACAAAAAGATAAGAAATATGCTAAACAGCATCTATTTTGGTGATGTTTTGTAGGGTGACACAGACACACCAGCACACAAATATAAATGCTCATAAGGCATAGGCCACTTACATAGCCTACATCATAGGCTCCACGCAGACTAAACCCAGAACCATAAATCAAGCTTAATCCTTCATGAAATACATTAAGCCAGGATGCAGTTAGTAGACTAGGTCAAGCCTTGCTTGGTCTTCTATCTTGGATTTCTTAATTCTGCTTTTGTAAAAATACTCCCTGGTTAGAACTTGAACAACTGACTTGTTTGCAAAATGCACAACAGTAACAATTTGCATGCTTGCAGCCTTAATAATATGAATCAGTATATTAAATAATATTATTAAGTAAGATATACATTCCAGTTGTAAAAAATTTCAGGTCCCTGAACCAAAATCACTCTGCTCTATATAACATTTTTGTAAAATAAAACAACATAATGAGAAGTAGCCTAAAACTGCCAGAATACTCGGCAATTTTATGGTACAATTACAAAGTGTGTATTATCATTATTATTGGTTTATTATTATAGCAGAAGACACAGTGACTAACCGGACGTTTAGAGGTTTTGTTCACACATTAAAACGGTCGTGCAATATTATGTTTCCGGTTTTATTTTTGAAAGTTTGCTCCCGGAAGTTGTGGTGTTTATTGCGGCTACCTTGACATTTGAGTTCAACATGTCTTCTTTGCAGTCTTTTCTCTGTCACTAGAAGCTTGTGGATTTTTCGTTAAACTATTGTGTGTTTTTGTAAGTAGTGACTCGTGATTTACGTCGATGTAACTGTTGTGAAATGCGCAAGCTGTGTTGACATACATACTGTACTCGCTGTCATTTACCGTTAGCCTGAATGTCTTAGCTTGTTGCGTATTCTGGTAACATGGTTGCTGACCTGGTTTTATATGACCTGGCTTGGCGGAGTCTGTGACTAAAGTCGGCGGTGGTTAACACATTAGGTTGTTCCTATGTCATGTGTGGACCTCTTCTCCCAAAGTCAGTATGTAATTATTCGTCGTAACGTATGCATTGTGTGCCTTTCAAAGTAAGCTTGTTAACATTAAGCTAGCTGGCTGGTCGTTAATATACCGTTAGAACATCACCCTGGCTACGTTTAAAGTTAAAGGCAAGCGGGTTGTTTGTGATCATAGCTAAGCTTGCGGCTGAACTGGCATGAAATAGTTTATATAGCTCTTCTCATAATTTCTAAGATGTGCTGTAAGTTAATGTTACCGTTAGCTGTTAAGGTAATTAATTAGTGTCGGAAACTTGCAGGTGATGAATCTGGCCAGTGACACAGTATCTTTAACGTTACTCGGTAGGTGTTTATGAGAAAATGTAACGTTAGCTAAGGTGTTGCTTTCTCTTCTACATAACGGTTAACTATGTCATAAGGCAGCTTGTATATCTGAATAACGGAGCTCCACAATATATTCTGTCTGGTTTTAACAGTTTGGTATGGCATTGTTTCGGTGTTCCCATAACCTATAGTCAGGTGTCTGAGCAGTAATAATACCGTATGGCTTCCTTCACACATCAGGTTAGCAACAAGCTAGCGGGCCGTTGTCAGCCAGGACCCAGAAAAGCAGCATCATCATCAATGGTGTGTCTACATCCCGGAGCAGTCACATTTTCCTGTGTCCGCTCAATGACCTATCTCCTCAGCTCTCATCACAGTGAGTACTTTAACGTCACTGCTAGCCATCTCTGAATATAGCTCAAATTAGCAGCTACACATCACACTTGAAATTCATTCCTCTGCCTCCCTCAGGCTGCACATGTATGGCGTTTGCGAGGCTTGGAGGGGAGTTTTGCCAAGCCCAGCACCTGCTGCTTATTGTGGACAAGTGAACAGGAGACTCCAGCTAGACGCCAACACTGCCATTCACACATCCAGGTGTGTACCTTTCAGGCCAGTGGTCTCTTTATCCAGGACTGAGTAAACACTGTCATGGTTATTAGATTCTGGGATACACAAGACTAAATTAAGACATTGCATGTAATAGGTAAACACACAACATGTCTATGTGAGCACTGGCAAATAGGAGTCGGTGGAGCACACATAGTGCCTGTACATATACTGATTGAAGTGCATGTTGCTATACTGTATAGCTGGTCAGTTAGGTCACCCAGTGTTGGTCTATAAAAAGGCCAGAGCATGAAGATAGATAATGGCAGCCCACAGTGAATTGATCATCAGGTATAAACATAAATGTTATTGCAAAGTATTATCAAAAATACAAGGAATTTGACTACAGCCCAATAGCCCCGATGTGCACAATAATAAAAACAGAATAAATATAGTAAAATATTTATCAGTAGACAAAAATATTAGTCATAACAAGCACAAACCAGTATGGAAGGATACTTTTAGTTGGTCTTAAAGCAGTGTAAAATTGAATGTGTGTATGTCTCACAGGTCATTACTGCCATCCTGCTCAACCCATATGAAGACAAGCCAACCTTCAGTCTGTCACCTGTCCTGTGGAGTAGGAGAGGCTTTCCTTTCAGCCTCGGACTGTCCCCTCTGCTCCTGTCCTTTCTTGCTTCTCCTTTATTCTTCTGCTCTGATTCGCACCAGTCTTCTCTGAATGGGATAACAGATTTGAAAGAAAAGGACAGCTTTTTCTGCTTTCTTTTTTCTTTCTAGACTTTGGGCCAGATTAAAATTTTTGTTTTTAGCCAAACCAATTTTAGTTTTCCTTTCATTACCAGACTTTTTTGCCACCAAAGGAATAGAATAACTACCTTCCTACTACAAATTATGCTTATCTATTAGTGACACTTTTAGTGAAAATATTCTGTGCTTTTTTTTTTTTTTGCAATTAGAGGACTTGTAGCTCCCTTTGAAAGCCCTCTCTAGTACTCCATTCTTTGAAGCACTGTACATTTCTGATCTGTTTGTCTTTATTAACAAACCTCTGTGGGTCTAAAAATGAACCGACCGGCTCCAGTGGAGATCTCCTATGACTGTCTGAGATTCCTTATAACGCACAACCCCACCAATGCACAACTGGGAAGGTTTATAGAGGTAACACAGTTTTATCTGTTTTCTTTTTCTCCATTCATTTTTTTTTATAGTCTGAGTAAAATCATCATGTGTTAAAATGCATCTCTGTTCGTGCATAGGAGCTGAAGGCATATGGAGTTAACACGTTGGTGAGAGTGTGTACTGCTACCTATGACAAGACACCAGTGGAACAAGAAGGCATACAGGTTCTGGTAAGTGTGTCTGTTGATTTTGATGTAAGGAATGAAAACTGAAATGCATGAATGACTTGCACCACTAAGAGCTTTGATGGTGTTTCTCTCATTAGGGGTTAAACTTACTTTGCAACATAAAATTCTGAAAAAATGCAGCACCTAAAGCCAGCAGTATAATGGTGTACCATAATAAACTGTACCATGTTAGCAATCTAAGGAGCATGAACTCTATCTGGAGGTTAGTCAAGTATGAAGAACATGCAAGATTAAATGGAAAAATTCCATTGTGCATTGCATTTCCAATAAAATCTAGCAGCAGCAGTAGTAGGCACAGAAGGCCATGTGCTGACTTTCAAGGTTATTGGCACAGTTTTCTTCAGACTTAGCAACTGAACAGTGACCTCTAGAACATTAACGATCCATGAAATGCTTTTACTGTTCTTCTGTGGTAAAAAAAAAAAAAACTTGTGGTACATTCACACATACAGATTCAAAGTGACTGGCTGTGTCTGGCCTTTGGTGAATCTGTAGTTTTGAAGAGGCTGTTGTGTTGAGTACATAGAATACATGTTGTGGCCCATCTGTGTGTGAATGTACTGTGATGGGGGTTCTCTGGACACCAAGTCAGTCTAGATGTCAGCCACAAAACCATGAATGTGTTTGCGACAAAAGGAGATGAATAATGATTCTTTTCCCTCCTAGGACTGGCCATTCCATGATGGCTCTGCTCCTCCAGACCAGGTTGTGGATGATTGGCTGAACCTGCTGCAGACAAAGTTTCGAGATGAGCCCGGCTGCTGTGTGGCTGTGCACTGTGTTGCTGGGCTAGGACGGTCAGTATGCACAAGATGCCAGTAGTATACACACCAGTCCAACTTTGCTGATATGCACATAATCTATTATACAAACCTGGCATCTATTGTCAATTGTAGTAGTGCTGCACAGTATTAAGCTCTGTGGTAGTATTGTGCACCCAAACAGATGGTTGTATGGTTTATCTATTGTTTGTCCTCAGAGCTCCTGTGTTGGTGGCCCTGGCTCTAATTGAGTGCGGGATGGAGTATGAAGATGCCGTGCATTTCATAAGACTGTGAATACAAAACCTACTCATCTCCATTTTTACTCTAAACATCTGCTCTGTCTTTCCATATGCTATTGTAGTCAGTACCATCCTTGCACCTGCTCCCACACCATCCTTTTAATGAATATTGCTTCTCCTTTTTAGCATGCTTGTCTCTTTCCTGTTGTCAGGAAGCGCCGCGGAGCATTCAACTCCAAGCAGCTGCATTACCTCGAAAACTACAAACCCAAATTGTGTCTGCGCTCCAAAGATGCCAACGGACAGAGCTGCTGCATACAGTAGGAATCTCCAACCCCGCTCATCTTCACTGCAACGTCATGGGAGACTTTCTTCTTTTGATGTTAAATAGAACATTGACATGATAAGATGAACTGATTTGATTAGATTAAAGTTCATTAAATCTCAAAATACTTTATGGCATTTCACAAATTCAAGTTCTAAAAATCTTCTGGAAACATAGAGTAGACAGACAACTTCTGATTTAACATCAGGAATGAATGTAAAAAGCCGAGTTTTTATTTATGCTCCTTAGTCTGTAACCTCACCTTTAATATGTAGCAAAATACTTATTCTACTAAAGGTCCATGGTCAAAGAGAATCAATTTTAGCTGTCAGCATCACATTCATATCAAATTCGTTTGGCTTTAAAAATTAGGAAACATCACAATGGTCACCCTCGCAGTTCCAACGAATGCTGGTGATGTTAACAGGCTTGTTCTGATTTAAAACTCTGACACTGTGATCAGATAATAGAAAAATCTGTTGAGTAGACATGTATATTTGGCAGTTGATTAATTGTGATATTTGGGCTGCAGCTAGATATTTGTTCTAAGCTACAACACTAAAAACACTGAATAAATACTTGGCAGCATGTGGTTCAGACTGTTTTATTTATTTCAAATGTCTTGCAGCCAAAATGTCATGCAGCTGATAAAGAGCTCTGACGAGTTTTAAAAAAAAGTTAATAAATGTGCTTAAGAAGTTTAAAAGATACAGATGTGTCCGTAGTTTGATGCAAACATGACATATGCTGTATTAAACCACACTACAATCTACCTTCTGTACTGTACTTTACCTCCCAAGTCAGTCATAGGTGCACAGTGTGCTTCTCTAGAATAATCTCTCATTGGCTGTAAATGTTTGACACTGTCTTTCATAACGCTAACAGGGCCAGCATGTTGAGCAGGTAGTGAATGTGAATAAGGGAGCACTTCAAGGTTTATCAAGATTGTCCTGTTCACTGTAAAGTGTTAAGAACACCAAGAAAAACATCAGTTCAGTAATTCAGCATACACTGCACATCACTGTGTAGGGGAGTGGTTATTGTAGTATATGTTCATCCTCCTGCTAACACCATAGCATAGATTGTATTGAATGGTGTATGTGAGATAACAGTCCAGCATGTCCTGTTGAATGATGGTAAGCTCCATGCAAACACCAGTATTTACTAGGGGTGTGATGAGATCTCAGGTCACGAGATCTCATATTACAACATGATATTTCTTGTCGAGGCAAAAGCTGTCTCGCAATATGAGTACATAACAGAACCAGAGCAGAGTGTCACGGCAAAGTGACATATGTTGACAGTAACAGGTCCTTGCTATGTTTTAACAGATTGGGCTGCATTGATCACAGGGTGAGGGGTTTCAGGGGGAGTCTTGTAGGCATGTACAATACAGCCATATTGTGACAAGTCTACATGAGTGGCTTCATTCATGTTTCCAGCTGTGCGCTACCTTTGTGTTTTGGTTAGCCATGCTGTTAATGTAGCTTACTCTACCTTAGCACCAATTCAGTGTCTGCCTTGATAGATTTAAAAAACAGTTTAACATCCAGTACTAACAAAAATGCATACTGTGTCATTATGGTGCATTACCTGTGGCTCAAATTCAACAGTGATTAACAGTGAGTGTTCATGCTAACGAGGTAAACGAGTCTTTTTCCCGTGTGCGTCCTCATCCCGATTGTCTCCCGTATGTGATTGGTCAACACAGCACCTTTGCCGGGTGATGTCACCATCCAGTGCAGTGAGGGTCAAAATAGCCCCGATGGTCTCACACAGCTTCAGTTAGAGGTTATAAGCTCATGTACAGTTACAAGGTCTGAAGGAGTCATGAAGTCATACAGGAGAGAAGCCAGTCAGTTGAGTTTGTGCTAAAACCTTTTACATGTTGTCTTTTAGTGCATTTGATAATTCATACTCACAAAGTAGAACTGAAGTGGCATTCATTACAAGATGATTAGTTAAAACATTTCAAAGTGCACCTGCATTGTTTTGCATTTTGTGACTTTCAGTCATTTCATCACTAAAGATTTCTTAACAATATTGTTAAAATATCGTCTTGTTCTCGCGAACCCAGTGTCGTGTATCATCTCATCTCATGATCTAAGTGTATTGTCGCACCCCTAGTATTTACTATTAAAGAACGATAGTAAAGAAATGTGAGTACAGTGAGCTTCTAACAGTGCACACCCGTATTACCTTTGGTCCTGCGGTTCTCAGCACTGAGCAGGTAACAACTCACAGGACCATCTCCTGAATACCTTCTGGTTTCCTCCTACTTCAGCGGGACTGTGAAGCCACTGAAACCTTAGTGGTCAGCCTCTTTCTTCGGCTCTGTACCAACCTAGCTGTCTGGTCAGCCACTTGTTTGTCCCATGCTCTTGGTTTTTGTGATGTTATTTTTCAGTAGTTTTTCTTGTACCTTTTATCTATTTCTGCTTTATTGATTCCACTGTGAAATGTTGGTATGCTGGGGTAAAAATAAATCTATCAGTCTTCTTGGAAAATTAAATGTTTAGTACTGTAGCTGTTGCTTTGTGTCTGTTTTAACACAACAAACTCTTTTGAACTAAGTATTTCAATTCTAGTTCCACAATGAATCACAAAAGCCTGGCCTTTCTTTATCCACAGATAATGAAAGGCCAGGCTTTTACATTATATCAATGGAAACCATGTTACATATTCTCAAAAAGGATATTATTGTAAATATTTGTAATTTAGCTTCACAAACTGCCAGCCAGCAGGTCCAGGTCATAGTGATTGGTCTGTCACCGTAGCATGGCAGGTGCCCAACATGAGGCTGAGTACAGGCTGTCCTGTGTGTGTGTGTGTGTGTGTGTGTATATGAGAGAGAGAGGGAGACGGTGAGAAATTGCCTCTGGCTGTGGTGATGCTGTGGTTGGCAGGTTAAAATCACAATGTCATGGAGCCAATAGATGTTTCAAAGTTGATTGATCTTTTCGACTGACCTCACAGCATGCAGAACTAACCTTGAACAAAAGCCACTATCGATAAATACACAGATGTTCATGAATTAAGGTTTAGACCCAACATTTAATATTGCATCTGAGGAAGAATTCTAGAATTGCAACTATTAATTGATCAGTTGATTGCCAGAAAAGTGTTCATGTTTGGTAACTAACTACTCATTGCCAAATAATCTCTGGTTCCAGCTCCAATGAGTGGATTTGCTCTCTTTGTCTTGTCATACCTTTGGGTTTAGTACTCAAAAAGTTAATGATTAAAATAATCATCAGTTGCAGCCATAAATAATTCAGTTTAAAAGTTTATCATTACTATTTCATGATCGTATGTATACAGAAAATACTGGCAGCTATTGGGAATGCTAGTACCCATTTACACACATACAAAATTGGGATTCATAGGTTGAAGTTAAAATAGCAAAATGTGTTAAGTTTGGTTTTATTTGCAGAGCATAATTTTATATAAATACAATTCACAGAACTGTACAGAGTGATAACAGAAAACACCTTGAACTGTGTCACGTTCCTCCAACCCTGCCTGAACAAAGTTTGCACGTGACAAGGCACATTATCCTGCTTAAAGAGGTCGCTGCCATCATGGAATAAAGTTGCTATGAAGGGGAGGACTTGGTCTGTAATAATGTTAAGGCACTGTATGTAGTACCTGTCACAGTAACATCCACATGAATGGCAGGACCCAAGGCTTCCTAGCAGAGCATTGCCCAAAGCATCACACTGCCTCCACTGGCTCACCTTCTTCCCACAGTGCATCCTGGTACCATTTCCCCAGACAAGCAATGCACCCACACCTGGCCATCCACGTGGTGTAAAAGAAAACGTAATTTCTTTGTTCTTTGCTTTTGTGGACAGTAGGGTGCGGCAACATACTGTCACATGCTTAATTATGATCATGGTTAAAATGTAAAAGGAACACTTATTATATACATGTATATACTTATTATTATTAATATACTTAGTTTTTCTAACTAATATCTCTTGCCTGATAAAGTCTTCCGTACAGGGTGTCAAATTCAATGTCAGCAAAATTACTACTATATATTGTTTAATATTGTTATGGTTTATATAGTGGGTCTTCAGTATAATCAGTCAGGACCCTGAGGGCACACAGAGGTACACAGTGCCCTCGGGAGCAGAGGACTGATGATCTGCTGAATTTCTAATGGGTAAACATCTCTAAGATCACTGTATGCTACACAACCCAGTGTGTATATGTGTTGTGTTTGTGTTCAATGCTATGGAGTTAAAATTATTGCCTATTTTTAACAGATGTGGGGATAAAAGGAGAAGAAACACGGATCTTGTTTAACATTGCATAGGAGGGTGTAACCCAAACACAGAACTAAACACACACACAGCTGTTATCATGTTAGACAACTTGCTGTCAACACTGTAAACCCGAACAGTATATCTTAATAAATGATTCAAGTTAACATAACTTAATCTTCAAGAAAAGTTGTTTTCACACAATCCAATGAAGTTAACCTAACTCAAAAATAAATTGTTCAAGGAATAACTCGTTTGTTTTGAGTGTATTTAAATTTTTGGGACATTTTAAGTATTGATCATATATTGCTGTTAGTTGCATGCACTTAATTTCTCTAAATTCGCTTCAATCCTGACCTCCTGGCATGCGCAGTACAGCCCTTAGGGCCACATGCACACGGCACAGGACGCACCCGGTTTGGACCAGTCTGCACACATGGTAAAAAAGGACGTCGTGGGATGCTGCTTGTTCCTGACAA